ACCCACAGTGGAGCAAGTGTCCAAAGACAAAGGACAGGCCAGTGGAATTCCTAGAATTGGATAACCAAGATATCAATTCTTGAAAAAAGACATCCTTGGTGAATTTAACTGAACTGATCTATCAGACCTCTTGATTACATTGGAATTTTTTTTACAACTGAATGTATCAATAGAACAACTATATTGTGATTCATAATAATTGCTTAAGGGTTAGTTCACCCAAAATGAAAATTCGGTCATCATTGACAAACAAGAACCAGAGTTTTGTTCTTCGGTGTCAAGCAAGTTGATACTTTATTTAGCGATTATTTTTACTTTACGCATCTGCATTGATCAATGTTTGTATGGGAATAAAAGCCTAAATCTTATATAAAATGTTTCTTCAAAAAACTTTTACTTTATGAACTAGTGTCAACGTTTTGGTGGAACGGACATTCAAAGAAGAGACAGAAATCTCTCGGGTTTCATCAAAAATACCTTCATTTGAGATTCGAAGATGAGCAAAAGTATTATGGGTTTGAATGACATGAGATGTGAAATGATGATGACAGAATTATAATTTCCAGGTGAACTGTCCCTTTAAGATGTGTAATTGTTTATACCTGAGATCATAAATGTAATTATTATAGTATTACAATTATATTAGCAGTAGCTGTCATGATAAACTATTAATAGATTTGAAAGTAAACCCTAGGACTTTTGTTTTAGAGTCCTAGATAAAAAGGCAACAAACACAATCTGTAACAGGAAACCACATTTTTGTGGTTTTAGCGATTATAGGCGATGACTACTAGGCATGATGGGTAAAGCAATGACCAAAGATAATGTTGAATTCAGCAACTTAAAACTCATATAGCCTAATACAAAATCTTAATGTTATAAAAATGGCATGGGGTTGATGCTTTATTTTAAAAAGGTTTTCCCTAATATTCCTTCATGAATATTTGCAAGAGAGTGATGGATTGCTTTTCAGTACTTCATATTCAGCTCATTTCAGGTCAGCTTTTAACTAGTATACTACAGGAACAGTTCCTGTAACTAAATGTTAAACCCATATTAATGCGAATTGTGTCTGTTTAGTATGAAAGCCTGTTTCCGCCACAGAATAAAACATTTTAATTGCGAGAAAAAAGTATTACTTTCTCAGAATTGTGAGATATAAACACGCAATTGCGAGATAAAGTCCAATTCTAAGAAAGAAAGAAAAAATTCCTCAGAAATGCAAGTTTATAACTCACAATTCTGACTTTTTTTCTCACAATTAACATGTTTATATCTACTTTATATCTCCAGGTGCGTGTTATAACATCAGAATTGCGAGATGTAAATTCACAAAAGTCACAATTAGCTTTTTTTATTTTTTATTCTGTAGCGGAAACAGGCTTCCATAATTTAGGTTGTTGTTTAGTCTTTCAATGCTCATGACAGTGTTTTCATCTGTGGATAACACTTATATATATATATATATAATATATATATATATATATTAGGGCTGTCAAACGATTAATCGTGATTAATCACATCCAAAATAAAAGTTTGTATTTGGATGCGATTAATCACGATTAATCGTTGCCCATCCCTAATATATAATATAAATTATATATAAATCTATATAACATGAAAATATTTCTTAAATATATACATGCACATGTGTTTATATAAAATAATTATACACAGTGCACTAGGGCTGGGTATTGTTAGGTATTTCACAATTCGATTCGATTTCAATTCTTGAGGCTTCGATTCGATTCGATTTCGATTCGATTCAATATTGATTTATTAGCTTCGATATCGATTCAATAAAAGTAAATACACAAGTAATTAAGCCTGAGTATATTTTTAAATAATTTGCGCGGAATTTCCAATGTTAAAGAACAAATTGACCCCAGCATGTTTGTTTCTTGTCATGGTTTATTCAGCAGAATAAACTGTACAATATAGTATGTGTTGAATACAAACACAACTGTGACAAGCACTGTACAGTGCTTTAACAACACCTCTAAAGTGCATGTAACTAAGTAGTAGAAAGTATATTTCTTTCTTCCCTATACATTCAAGTTACAAAAGAAATGTAAACAGAAGCACAAAATGGTGCATACTCAAAAAAAGTCTAATATTTATATTATAATTTTGTAAACAATAACACTTAACAGCTGATCGCACTTAACAGAAATTGCGAGTTATCAGGCCAATTCTAAGGGGAAAAAAAGACCAACCTTTTTCCCTCTCAGAATAGTTTATATCTCACAATTATGACTTTATATCATGCATTTCTGACTTTATAACACACAATTGCGACTTTATATCACGCAATTCTGACTTTATATCCCGCAATTGTGACTTTATATCACGCAATTCTGACTTTATATCCCGCAGTTGTGACTTTATATCACGCAATTCTGACTTTATATCCCGCAATTGTGAGAAATAAAGTCAGAATTGCGAGATGTAAACTCCCAATTGTGAGAAAAAAAAGTCAGAATTGTGAGGTAAAAAGTCGCAATTACCTTTTTTATTTTCCATTCTGTGGCGGAAACAAGCTTCCATAGTTCCCGGCTTACAGTGGAATCCAAAATGAGCCCAAACGTCGGCTTTTAATGTTGGTGCAGGCTTAAATCAGTCTTGAACGCCTGCTTGAACGGAGTGCAGCTGCTGTCCATCATCGCGCTGTTTTGCTAAAGCATGACTTCTACAACGCTGAACGCTTCACTAGAGTGTAGCCCACAGCGCCGCACTGGCCTGGATGGCTGAATCGATTCAAAGGATTTGATGAATCGATATTGAATTGAGACGCAAAAAATTGCAATGCATTGATGAATCGATATTTACCCAGCCCTACAGTGCACCCACAACTTTTATTTTGGATACGATTAATCGTTTGACAGCCGTAATATATATAAAATAGAGATTACTGTGAATTCCATGCTTTACAGAGCTCAGGTTGATGCAACTGTGAAATGAAGTTGAAGGATGTCCAATGTAATGCAAAGCCAAATTCAAATGTGAAAGTGTCTTATGACCACTTCATCACTAACCTCTTTAGGTAAAACTGTATTTGTTGTTATTGAACAACTGTCACATGACTTGAATTTTATAACTGGAAAGGAATTATCTACTGTATGTTCAGTGGAATGTGAATGTGCAATGTTTTCTTCTCTTTCCGCACAAAAGACAATCTTTAAATCAGATAAACAATAAATACATACTTTTTTAGACTGCTGTCTGAAAATTGTGTTCTGATTTGACCGAAATCTTAAAAGCAAAAACAAAGAAAAGAGAGAAATGGAACTTTAATTTGTTTGATCCATCCATACAAACCAAAAGTACTACTTTACATATAAATTTGCCTGTATTTTCCAAGCAGAAGCTTTCTCACCAAATCTCATGTAGCATGTCTCAACTTGTCAGGACATTGCTTGTCGGCAGGTAGAAAAAGATCATACCTCTTGGTTATGGTGTTTCACTGTCCAATATTTGTAAGCACTTATACAACCAGTCTTTATACTCTTGAAAGGCTTGTGTGGGTTTTGAATGTTGTCCATTGCTGTCAGCTCCATCTTCAATCCAGTGCAGAATGGCCTGTAGAATACATCCCGGGCGGTATTATATATAGTTACATTCTGTAACATACTATGTTACTGTATATTGATTGATTACATGTTATATTACATCAGTGGGCCAGAACACTAGTCCAAATAGATTTGGGCTTACCTTGTATCTGTCAGCTATTTTGAATCCAATTGCAGACTGTAGTTTACGTAAACAGATGGGGCACAATACAAGTGTCCGACGGTCAGACTCCACTAAGTGATTGGAGCCCTGCATGACACAGTTTAGCCACTGGCAGTGCTCCATTCCAAATATATGCCCAATCTCATGAGTCAGGGTCTAAAAGAGATGCACAAATAACAGGTCTGATTAAAAGAGCTCAAGTAAAAAGTTTAGTGCATGTACAGTACAGACAGCCATACACATTCTCAACCACACAATGACCTAGATCAGTGTTTGTCAACTGAAAAGTCTGTCACAAGACCGTTTTGAGTGGGTCGCGGATAGTCAAAGAAACAACAACAACAACAAAGTATGGAATGTTTTTAAAATGCGAGACTTTTAGTTTGAAAGACGTGAATGAACTCCTGTTGACTCCATTGTCAGATGCAGTTTAAGTAAAGAATGCCTGAGAAAAACATTGTGCTGATCTGCTGTCAGATGAGATGTTGTCAGGCTACTGTATATGTCAGTGTCATTATTCTAACGTCACTGTTAGCCAAATTAACATTGAAATGGTTGCTTGTCGTTTTTGCTAAAATATCTTGCTATTCAATTATCTTGTTATCTAATTAATGACTAGTCTATGGTTGGGTTATGGTTGGACATCTGTTCAATTTTCGCTGAAATATTTCCCTGATTTAGCCTAGACGTCAGGGCTGTGTTTGGACGGCTATTAGATGCAAAATTGCTTGCTGGGATCACTTCACTCTAGACTAGAGCAAAGGAAATTACGAGCATGCAACGTCCTAGTTACGTTGTTAATTAATAAGTCACGAAATTACCAAAACTGTACCAATAATTTACATAATTGGTACGTTGTGTTTTGCATGGGAATGATTTGTATAATGTACATTCTTTTCATCAGGATCAGTGTACATATGTTTCATTAACAGCTCATGTTCTTCGGCACTTCAGCCAAAACTTAACCCAAAATGCCACTTTATTTTCATACTTTGTCTTCTTTTCTATACTTTTGGTTACTATGGTTGCTAATACACTTATCTTATACTGATGATCAGTGTTAGTGATATTCTTTAACACTATGTATGTTAAGTAAAGTGAGACAGTTCTTGTATGTGTGTGTCAACCATTTTTGAGAAATACATTTGATTGGTTCAAATTCTGATAAATGTGGGTCGCAGCCTGACGACCACTGGAAAATGTGGGTCCCATGGCCAAACCAGTTGAGAACCACTGACCTAGATAGTGTCTTTTCATCTATAAAAAAAATCTTTGTTATAATATCTGCTCACTGGTTTTGAGTTTAAATATATTAAGCATTGATGCACTTTTTTCTGTGTAGGGGTTGGGGAGTTTAGAAGCACAGTCATCTCGCTTCACCTTGCAGGAGCGGAGGAGGAGAACGCTGGTGAATGGAGGAGTGTAGTAACTTTCAAACACAGAATAGTCTCCTTGCTTTAGCTCTATTTTCTTCTTAAGCCGCCCTGCATAGCTTCTCTCATAAAAATGATCATCGTATCGGCTGAAGCTGAAGACTCCCATTCCTACAGTAACAAAACATTCAAACTTAATAGAACTGCTAAAATGACAGAAGGTCTATTATAGGGATAGTTCACTTTGAAATAAATGTTTGGTATGTTTTAGCTTACCTCAAGGGTATCCAAGATGTAGGTGTCTTTGTTTCCACAGTATTTTCAATTTTTATATTTTTAGGTCAAAACGATCTTGTCTGTCAGTGATATAATGGAAGTTTATGGGGTCCACCCGGGTTAATTTGCAGTCCAAATTTAACATGATTTAATTTGACTGAATGTAAGTACACATTGATGGCTTAAGACACGAAACGAGCGGTTTGTGTGAGAAAACGAACAGTATTTATATTGTTTTAACCTCTTGTAATCAGAGTCACGTCCAAGTGTTCTGAGGCTGCTGGCGCTTCGGTCTGCGGAAGCAGCGGATAGCGCCGGATCTCTTGCGCGTTTAAAAAATAAAAAATAAAAATCAACGTTGTCTGTTGGTATATCGAAACGGTCATTGCAATTTCCTGTATATCTAAATATGTTTAGATCTTCTCAGTGGAGGGTAACACTTCTGAAATCTCGCGTCCAGAGTGCTTGGACGTGACTGAGATTACAAGAGGTAAAAACTATATAAATACTGTTCGTTTTCTCACACAAACCTCTCGTTTCGTGTCTTAGGCCATCAATGTGTACTTACATTTACGAGTCATTAAATCATGTTTAATTTGGACTTCTCTGTGCATGCTCTTTGAGGTGGACCCCATATACCTCCATTATATGACAGACAAGAACGGTTTGACCGAAAAATGTCAAAATTGAAAATACTGCGGAAAAAAAGACAGCTACATCTTGGATGCCCTTGAGGTAAGCTAAAACATATAAAAAAATAATTTCAAAGTGAACTATCCCTTTAAATCAAAACGCACACTGGGCTACAATGACAACATTCCTTTCAAGTTACAACAACATTTGAAGCACAAGTTAATAAGACCACTGAAACTGAATCAAAAATCACCTTCAGTTAGAGAAGCCTGGCCAAAAACAAAATTCCATGACTCTTTAGGGTACAAGTCGATCATGGTGATCCCCACAATGCAAAAAGCATCACTTGGCTTCCTCTTTTTCAAGAAGTTCAACAGCTCTCCTGTAAATAAAAGAAAACAGTTTAAAAGTCAAAGTGAACCGCTGTTTGCAACCCATCTAATTATCATAATGTATAGCTCAGTCACAACAGATTTTATCCATCTTTGACTGGATTGTGAAAATTTGGTGTTACTTACATACCAGAATGAAGCCCAGGCCAAATGTAAGTGCCTCACTGACTATATTCTTGTGTTCTGTTGCAGCAATACTAACCAGCATGAAGCTGAAGATTATGTGTGTTGTTGTTGACCCGAAATGAACAGGCTGTTGAAGCAACTGTTACTGGTGGCAAAAGCTTGACCACTAGTCCGTAAAAGAATGCCTGACAGTAGTCCTTCATCCATTCGACATACTGCTCTGCCACAACCGCTCCTTCACCAAAAGAGCCTGCACATTTATCAACATGATCAACTTACACATGTAAACATGATAATAAATGACACATAAGCTGTTTTACATATTAAGTACACTAACCAATGGTTTGAATATAGATGGTTTTATGTCCAGGGTTTGGAGAACGGCGGTATGGGTTGATGTAAAAACTCTGAAAGTCTTGAAGGTCTTCTGGATGTGCAGGAATCCAGTCTGAATCTGAGTGAATGGTGATGGGGCTGAAAAGTGAATTGCCAGGGAGGAGTCCATCTTCTAGAAACGTCTTCTCTGCTCTGCTGAATTTTTTATATGTTTTTATTAAATCTTTCTGTGTGGACAGGAGAGCAGTATGCAGTCTCTCAACAGGATGCTTAATAACCTGCATCTGTCCATAGAAATACATTATACATAGAAAATATTATCAGTTGTGCTGCTGATATGAAAATCGTGATGCTTCTTTTTTTCAGGATTCTTTGATGAATACAGTTTTGTAACATCATATCCCCTGGTTTCACAGATAAGGGTTAAGCCAAGTCCCAGAATAAAAAGCATGTTTAAGATACTTTAACTGAAAGCAGCTTGCACACTAACATATCTTAAAATATGTCACTACTATTGTTTTGTCTAAGCCCTGTCTGAGAAACCAGGCCTAAATGTCTTCACTGTCACTTTTGATGAATGCATTTGAATAAATTGAATTTATTTAAAAAATCACTTAAATGTTAAAAAAAAAAACTATGGAATGTATTTTGTGTTGTTGTTAAAAATAAAACCAAGGTAATAAAAAAGTAAATAAATTAAATGTAAATTTTAATTTAATCATGTAGAACTGTTCACAAATGTGGCTCACCTACTCTCTCTCTCTCTCTCTCTCTCTCTCTCTCTCTCTCTCTCTCACACACATACATTAAATAGTAAAGTTAAAACATAAAAGGTACGTAGTAATGTGTCTTGCTGCAGAGTAGGCTACAGTATTTTACTGTATTGTGTCCAACGTTTAACGTTAGTCACACTCACACTGTATATGCTACACTGGAATGTTCTCTATGTATCATATTGCAATAATGTCACGCCATTAATTATTATAGTTAAATTGTTTTCCCCACGTGTCAGAGGAATATGCGACTTCGCAGTCACACACACGACTGAATGACAACACAGTTCGACAATGTCAACACATATTAAAAAAAAGCTGAAGCTACCTTTAAAATGTGTTACAGAATGAACGTCGAAGATTGGATGTTTCAGGTTGAACTGAACAATAATGAACGAAACAGCAATAAAACGGAAACCATAAACACCAAACTCAGCTGCAGCCTACGCAGCATTTAAACATCAAGCTTGTTCAGTTCAGAACAAAATTCGAGTTTTACATTGGCTGCCATTCTGTTTTTCAAATGTAAAGTCCCAATCCCTGTAGACTAATGACCGTTTTTAGTTTTTAAAAACAGCTTAGTATTTTTTCTGATATTTTTAGGAAAGGTTACAAACAATTTGTTACAATGTATTAAATTACAAACAATTAAAAGCATATTATACAACATTTTATAATATTATTCGACCTGTGTTAGTAATTAATCCCATAACAAAATAAAAGCACATAGATATGTTAAAATTTAAAAGACACTTTAAACAGTTTTAGAAAAGTAGCAGTTATTAAATGATAGAATACAAATACATGATTTCTAACACAAAATTTACACAGGAACTGGAATTTTATTCAGAAATGATAGGATGTTTTATTAGTGAGATCCGGGCTTGATACAACCTCTTTTTTTTCCACTGAAATGACAAGCCACCAGAAAAAGAAAACAACTACTCTGATAAAATAATCAGATTTCATAAACAGAATTACACAAATGTGATCAACAAAAACAATAAGAAAACACTATACAAAAGCAAGTGATTATGGCCATGACAAAGATACACAACATTGTATAAGCAAATTCTTTAACAGATTTTATACATAAAGACCTTAAATCAGGCAATCAGTTTACTACCAACAGTCAGATTACAGTGCTTGTTTTCTTTAAGATTACATTAAGACTTAGTCTCTCCATCAACACATTTTAATTTGTTTTATCAAACCAGCTTTGGTTAATCTACAGACATTTAAGGTAAGGCCTTTGCTTTGCCTGTAAAACAAAACAAATGTCTGTAGTAACCAATACACAGAAAGGCACCTTGACTACTTTAAGTCATTTTATAAAACCCTGAGCTAAAGCAGTCCACTTTAACCTACATGGGAGCAAAAACATAAGGCACCTTTCTGTTTTTAAAGTGAATTCATAAAAATAGAGGAAAGCAATATACAACATTCAAAGAGAATCAAACCCTTTCAAAGTTATAAATGAATTTTAAACAAGAACCAGTTCTTGTCTTAGGACAACTTTAACTTTTTTGATCCACTTCAAATGCTGACTACTGTATATCGATTTTCAGGGCTTTTAGAAAAATACAGTAAAAGTATGGTATTATGTTAGTGTGTGAAATATAACGCTCAAGAGAAAAGAAAAACTGTCAGAGCAAAAGAAATTGTATGTACAGACCTTCTGTACAGGCTTGAACGGCAGACACCTTCCCTTTACATATAAATGACAAATAAGTACTTCTTACAAAAGTACCTTAATTGTACTACATTATTGTCATGATCTGAGTGCAACAAAAAGGCATTTTGAGTGTGGGAAGACAAAGGCAGTGAAACCATGTTCTTGTATCAAAAAAAAAAAAAAATCAAAAAAAAGACAATATAATAAGGCTCAAGCCCATTTAAAAACAAAACAAAAAACCTGTTCACTGGTGCAGAAGAGCTCTTTGATTTAAACATTGAAAGCCCTGAGAACTTACGATATCTTCTTGAAAAAAAAAAAAGCTTTATCCAAAACTAGGTGTTAAGCCTAAGGGCTAAAGGAGTGTTGACCGTTCCATTATACGAAAATATACGCTCAAACATACAGTAAACGATCGCAATTACAGCATTTTGGTGAATAACTGAGGACCATTCCTTGGCATATTTGATATGGCTACAAGCAGCTAAAAAAAGGTTGCTTTTATATCAAATTCTTTGCATATACATGACGTATTATTATGCAAAAAAGAAAATATGTTCGCACAATTATCCTATCCATTTTTCTTCAACCACAATATGTATTGAACCACTTGTACTTTGTATTAAATAAAGTAAAACCCTAATTCAAATGGAATGTTCTTAAAGGCCGATCGGCACCTTTCATTGTAACATGAGCTGTTTAAGGTTGTCGTGCAAGATGGTGTCTTTGACATCACGGAAGACGAGGCGAATGTTCTCTGTGTTGATGGCGGTGGTGAAGTGATGGTAAAGAGGCTTCTGCTGCTGTTCTCGACGCTTGTTACGGAAGCACTCGACCAGGAACTTCTGCACATCCTGCAGATCGTGGGGCTCCCCAGTGAACTCTGGGAAGTAGTCCTTGATGTTCACGTTCTGAACTTTATCTTCCAGCAAGTCTGTCTTATTGAGGAAGAGAATGATGGAGACGTTGGCGAAGACACGGTTGTTGACGATAGTCTCGAAGATATTGAGCGACTCCGTGAGCCTGTTGGTCTGACGGTCTTCCATGAGCACCTGATCGTACTCGCTGGATGAGACTAGGAAGAGGATGGAGGTCACCGAGTCAAAGCACTCGAACCATCGCTTGCGCTCCGACCGCTGCCCTCCCACATCCACCATCTTGAAAGGTACATTCTTTATCTCAAAGTTGTACTCATGAATACCCTTGGTGGGTTTTCGTGCCAACAGTATATCCTTTTGGCTGGGCAAGTAGTCCTGCAGATTAAATGGAAACTAACATTAGACAGGCATAATACTAATCTAAATACTAAAACAGTTTTAAAAATGTAGTATCAATATTAGGGGTGATCGATATAACGATAGTCAATATACAGCCCCTAATTGACGACTGCTGTAACGTTACACACAACAGAAACAAAACACATCATAAAATCAGGCCTGTTTCTCTCTCGATCTGCCGTCGTCGCTCCTAATTTTATGCTTTCGCTCCTCCGTGAGAGACGCGAGACTGGTGTCTTTCATTATCACTCATGCCACCGGCCTCGCGCCGTCCTCTTAAGTCCCTCGCCCTCGATCGTCCTGCTCGCCACAGCCAACTAACTAGAAATTTTGAGAGAAATGAATTTCAAACTCTGGTGGCAGCTAACGTTAGCCTTGTAGACGTAAGAGTGATCTCTCTGTGCGCTGTTCTGGATTAGTGGGTGTGGCTTGCGGAGCTGTGCAATGTGGTGCATTGTGGGAGTTGTGTTCTTACATACAAATGCATCCTTCGGTTATTTTCTGTCTTCTCGGTCAAGAGGGCACCAAATTCAAAAATTCTTTTACATTTCGACTACATATATGATCCACTTTCAATAAAGAATAATGTTGAAATGGGTGAAATGCTCCTTTAATATTGGAAAAGCTTTTCAGTGCTGGAGAGACCTTGGAGAGCGGGCAGCCCTGAAAACGTAAGCTGAGGTTGCTTTGTTTATGCTCTATATGGGTTACATTGGTTTTACTGTGTTTCACACAGTGTTGGTGTAACTAATTACTAAGTAATTAGTTACTATAATTTAATTACTTTTCCCTTGAAAATGTAAAGTAAGGGATTACTCTTCATTTATCTGTAATTTAATTACAGTTACTTCTGATGTAATTGGGGTAAATACTGTCTATAGATCAATCTGATCTCACAGCGATTTGTCATTCATATGCGTTTTATTAGGTGTCTAAATTGTACGACCGCACTCGTACAAATTCGTATGAATTATTGTAAAATATGTATGAAAAAAAGTGTGAAATGTCATGAGATCAGACACAAAAAAATCATGGGTTTAACATCAAAATATATTGTCTGATGTTAAAAAGTATGTTTATGATATATTGTATGATGTTATATCTTTTAAAGGAGTACACGCGAAACAGTATAAAAAAATGAACAAAAGTGAATATTCAACATTTAACAGCATATATGTGTACTAAGAATCCCAGATAATGATTTAAAAACTCTAAATACATTTTAGACCAAATAAATTAAAAAATAATTTGCTATTTATTTTGTCTGATGGTGTTGACAAAAACAAAGTGATAACTGGAGAAACGCCTATTTTATGAAAAAAATACAAAATGAGGAGGTTGCACCGGTAAATGGTAAATGGACTGCATTTATATAGCGCCTTCATAGACCTAATGGCCACCAAAGCGCTTTACATTTGCCTCACATTCACCCATTCACACACACATTCATACACCGACGGCGGTGTCAGCCATGCAAGGCTGCCAGCCAGCTCGTCGGGAGCAGCTGGGGTTAGGTGTCTTGCTCACGGACACCTCAACACTTGGTCAGGTGGAACCGAGGATTGAACCACCAACCTTTCGGTTCGTAGACAACCCACATGAACCACTGAGCCACTGCCGCTTTGCATTTTTTGTACTTTGCGCGGTACATTGCTGAACAGCCAAGACCTTGGTTTATAATGATATACCTTCAGATTTTGTAATTTAACTAACTTTTTATTTTCAAAATTAAAACCTGTTTTATCCAAATTCCCAAGAATCACTGTTTTATAATGTAACCTTCTCCACCTTGGTCAGTTTAAGGATAATTCATGCAATTTTATAGTATTTATTTGAAAGAATTAAAACAGATGTATATCCTTATTCAGCTGGTTGAGATTGATATGGGATTTTGAAAGTAATTAGTAATTAAAAGTAATTAAATACTTTTTAGAGAGAGTAATTAGTACAGTAATCTAATTACACTGTTGAAGAGGTAATTAGTAACTTGTAATTAATTACTTTTTTAGAGTAACTTACCCAACACTGGTTTCACAGAACCAAGATATGCTGTCATTGGTTAGAGGTTAGTGGAATATATGTAAAAATCTCGTTTTTTTATCATGCAGCTCGGGATTTTTTTTTTTTGGCCTGCCCCCTAATAGTCGGCTGAATGTTAGTCGACTAGAAGAGGCTTAGTCGGCCAAGATTTTATTAGTCGGAGAAAGAAAAAACTGCACAGGAAGTGATGAAGTCACGTGACCCTTGAGGGACAGATCGTTAATGGCCAGTTCTTGAGGTAATTACAGTATGTCGGGTAGGAAATCCAAACATTTGGCTCTCATCCATCGACCTAAAATATGTTTTGAGCAAAAACAGCAATAATCTCATAAATGGTGATGTGTAGCTTGATACTAATTATAGCTCTAATGCACCCATTACCCAGCTGTGATTTGATGTATGTATTTGGTCAAAAGATTTCTTGTAAGGTCACGTAAGTGTTATAGATCATTTGTGTTTCTAGAGTAAACAAGGGATGGGCATTTTTCAAAAATATTGCATTCGAATATTCGGGCTCATAAAAATCAAATATTCGAATATTTAAATGACATTTTAAATATAACTGCAAGATAGTATTTTATTTTTCGAATAATAATTACAGATCAAATATTCGAATTTGCACACCCCTCATGTAAACCCCACTTTGTTTATCTTAATTTGCACTGGACAAGGTTAAATCAAATGGAAAAACCTATAAGATAGACACATGAGCCAAAATGCATTCTCGGCAGAACCACCTATCGTGGAGGCGTGAATTAGCCAAAGGCGATCAATCCTTTCGCATTTGACCATTCATAAAACACCATTCGTCTGCGAACCGCTTTGCTTTAATGCATCGCACTCAGTGTGAAAGGAATGTAAAAATTTGGGGGGAGAGCAGATGCGTAGATATATACAGAGGATGTCATACTGGGTCTGCTCAAGAATGTAAAAATTTAGGGGGAAACAGATGCATAGATATGTACAGAGGATGTCATACTGGGTTTGCTCAGTTCTTCTTTGTACTGCTTTTTTCGGTTGCTCATTTTGTTACTTCTTATTCTCACATCAATTACTCGTGTAAAATCAATTTCTCTTCTTTGTGCTCTTCGGCCTTCGCAGTTTGCACATTTCACTTCAATGCTTGGCCCAGTATCGCTGCTTGCAGCTTTTCATTTGAATCTTTTTCTATTATATTTATTTTCACTACTGTTTGTAATTGGATTACTGTTCTTAATTTATTACAGAACGTTTACATGTCAACAGTAAGCTCGAGAACATTTAGTTATTGCTGTAATATCAAAATTCAAAATGTCACTGAAATTCATAATTTTTTTACACCAATTTCAAAATGACATTTAGAATTTTGATATCATAAGCTTATTTCAACTAAAAATAGGTATATTATTTATTTATATATATATATAGATATATATATATATATATATATATATATATCCCCACATTAACATTTAAGAATAATTTTTATTTTTACCGATTGTCCAAGTTTATCCACATTGTCCAGGAAATATTTCACAGATTCACCCTAAAAAGAAAAAAAAAAAAAAGACAATCATAATTAGGTATTTGTTATGTGAACTGTAGTGCAGAAGGTTAAGCTTTGACTTTGTGTTTTGCTGTGCCCCAATACGCCCTTTTATTTTTTTACCCTTTCCTGAAACTCTATGCACATCTACATACATGTATACATATATATTATATACACACACACACATTTTCCACCACATTTGCTAAGGCAGACACCTATTATGTTATACTTATTTGCTAGATAACTTGCTAGCCTTCGTAAGTAAAAACTGGTGGTAAGTGAGTTTTGAGGAAAATAAAGCACAGCAATGTGGCCTCTACTAGTTTGCTTTGTGAAGTATGCAAATCAGCCTTAGGTAGAGCTGGCTTAAAAGTAACAAATAAATAATGTTTATCACTGAATAAATACGGATAAACATGCTAATCACAACCTGTACAACAATGGAGATTTTTAGTTTAGAAAATGAGCTAAATCCTAATCTGAGTCACAAGGGTTCCACCCCTGAACATGAACGATGCTATCTTCATAACTGACATGCAAACTGAACTCATGCGCAGCCACAGACAGAACCCCCTCAATGTCATGACTAACAAATGAGCTTATTTGTTTAACTCACAACGGTGAATTACTCTTAGGTTTCAATTATAGTCAATATCAGCAAACACAAACCCAAGTTCCTTTTTGCATCATCAGTCCAATAAATTCAATAATGGCCCCTTTTACATTTCATACGTATGAAAAATAAGTAGGCATTACACCATTATTAATGCTTTGTGTATGGAGTGTACTGCTGGTGGCACACAAGCTTGATAGGAGTAATTATGCAAGTACACTGTGCTTATCTGCCTTGATTCATAATACCAAGCTATTTAAAAACAGATCAACATTCCTTCAAGATCACAACCCGCACAATTACATAAATCCTATGAAAAAGATTGAGTGGATGGATTCTAGATCCAAAATTTTACTTCTTTGGTGACTAAGAACAAATGAAAAAAAAGCACAATAATTAAGAAGGTTTAATAATAAATACAGAATTATGAGCCATCATTTAATTTACCAGCTGAAACTCTCTTCGTCTGTCATAGGCATTCTGAATACCACTGTCTTGCCACAGGGCACGGATGGTGGGCAGGTAGTTCAGAAAGACTTTGGTCTCCACCATCCCTTTGGCCATCAAGGACGAGCGAGTGTCAAAGCCCATAATTGTCTCCCCATGAACCTGATTCTCAGGGTCTCCCCAAGGGATGTGCAGCTTCTCACGGGCATCCACCAGCACCCGGACACCTAAACAGGACATTTTTCAGTAATTAGCATACTATAAAAAATAAACTTGAGGTTGCTGACATAATGACCTCAAAAAAGAAAATGAAACCGTTATTATGCATCCTCAGACCATAATCTCTCCTTTTGTCAACAATTAAATTTATGAAAAATCATAGTCCGTCCCCATCCAGAAAAGTTTTTTTTATATATATAGTTCCCTTTTTTGCGAGGTCAACAAGGCCATTTTAGTTCTAATGTGTTTAATAATTAAAGAAATATACAAAACAAACATTAAAAACAACTGTTCTTTTATATTTCCCTTTTTTATAAGGTCAACAAGGTCATTTTAGTTCTAATGCGTTTTATTATTAATGAAATATACAAACAAAAATTAAAAACAACTGTTCATATTTGAATGTCAACCTCATCACGTAAATTGTAAAGAAATTGTTAGTGCTTTTGGGTAATTTCCCATATTTTCAAGTAGTTAATTTTAGTAGCTCTACATTAAATGGTATATGTTTTACTGTACATATTAAACTATCTGTATATCCATTAATTCATGTAAGTGGACATATCTGTAATAAATATTAAATAAATGTTTGTATTCAAAGATGTTGACTCATTTTGAGGCAATGAAAAAACAAGCATTTTGTCCGAAAATGGAAGCAGGACCAAAACATGACTGTAAATAATTTATATATCCGGGTTCTGTCGCCTGTTTCTTCATGTATGTCTCAGGAATCAGTGGTATATTGAGGTACACTTATCAGTATCTGTCATAAAACAATCACACACATACAGATGACTAAGTTAACCCAAACCAAAAGTAGCGCTGCACTTTCTCTATGGGGCGCCAGGTTTTCTGAAAGGTTTGTCATAATTGAACAGTGTCTACATACACAAATGTTTTTTTAAACAGTAGTTTCGTTTTCCTTAGTCAAATTTGTTATCTGACAATGTAAAACAGGGGTTGAACAATAGCAACATTCAAAAGCACTGGCCGTCGCGTCGTCTATGGGCTGGGTGAGCAATCGAAAGTTTGCGTAAGTTAAGTGAAAGGAATCGACTCGACAAACAATTTCACCTGCCGCTGAAATTACTTTGACCATTCATTTTCGATAAATGTCTCTCTCGATTTCAAGTTATTGTCGTGGTAACGTTACCTTTGATAACATTGCTGTAGATTGTAGCCCGGAACTCTTCTTTGGCCCGCTGATCGAAGTCCTGCCCATGAATTATGCGCATTTGTTTGAGGAAAGTTGACTTGCCACTTTCGCCTGCTCCTAACAGCAAGATCTTTACCAGTTTCTTCACATAAGTCTTCTCTCGAGACAGGCTTTTGTCGATCTCCTTAGATTTCCTAATTTGATCAATTTCGCCGTTGGAGAGAAGACAATTGGGAATACAAACTATAGCAGTCCGGGAGGGCAGGAAATCCGCCATCTTTGTAGTAACGACTTCATGGATACATCACTCGCACTGCCGCGCGCGGCGCGTTCACGACGTGTTCCGCAGAAATGGGCGGATACCCGGGTGTGGTTTAATGTTTTGGAAATTATTATTATTATTATTATTTTTTATTTATCATTAAGATTTATTGAGTATAATAGGCCGTTCCTATTTTTATTCCACGTCATGCCATAATATATTGGATAAATTATAGAAAATTGTTTAGTGTTCTACACAGTTGATAATAAAGTGAACATTTCATTACTTTGGTTTGAGTGGATGTTTCCATTTTGCCATGTCCCTAACACCATTTCTGACATGAAAACTACCAAATGTATAGGTATTACAGGTTTTGTCTTTATTTTTTTATAATTTTTTCTGCAATTAAAAAAAAATCTAACAATATTATTATATTTACATATGCAGCATACGATAAAATATTTTGCAATGTCAATTTAACTTAGAAAAAGTAAGTTATCTAATGACATATTTTAGAATTATAGCAATTTTTTTGATAAAAGTGATATTTTGTGATTGATTGGTTGGTCTCTATGGGATGAATAGTATCAAAAGGATTACGTCCAAGCACAAATATCAATGAGCTTGATTAATGTTGCAGAAATGTTTTACGATCCCCAACCAAATGCCTTTCAACTTGCGTGTGCAAAATTGTGTTGTGTTGAATGTGTTGCAATTTGTACAAATAGAGACAATTGTGAATGCAAATGTTTTCTTTTGTATTAAAGTATAATAATTTGGGCATGCAAAAAAGAAGACATGCATACTGTGTGGATCAGGTGACGCGCATGCACTCATTGACGTCTTTTCTGAGTTAATCTTATTTGATTCATTTGGATTTTAAGAATTTCTTTTCGCTGGTTTAGCCTGGCACGATCCACACACTCTGAGAAACCTGCTAGCACCAGATGGCAGTATTCTGCTAAAACAGACGACGACAGCGGAATCGAGCAATCTTCCCCATTTACGCGAACCACCAATAAAAAATAAATATAAAACGCGAAAGCACCCAATTTACTAAACAATGTAGGTCTTTTACCTTCACAAATGTGATTTACATTTTCTTCTCAATAAAACTTTTTTATATATAGAAGATACGCACAATAACATGGTTTATGATCTATAATCTTAAATCCAGCTCAGAAGCTTTTGTTTTCTTTCTATTTTGATCGTGTAACACAGTTTTAATGCACATCATCCTCAGGTGCTTTCATGTGAAAACAATGACACCAGCGCCATCTACCGGAGGTGACGTGTTAGTGTTAGCACTGCTTTCTGCGTACAGGTTTACCTACACGAGCAGAGCTGTTACCTGATTGGCGCACACACAGTCATCAGCTTTGTGTGCATCAGTGATGATTATAGATTAGACATAGCCAAAACGATAGTACGATTACCTCCCGAGTATTTCCCATTTCATTCCCTCGTCTACGACGTGAAGAAGCGAATATGACCATAAGGAATGTGCGGGACCATGGGCAGCGTTACAGACCGCGCATGGCATGCCTGAAGAAGGTGGGTTGGAGCTCCATCCATGGCTCATCACCATTTGCGTTATTTACATTCTCGCCAATGAGTTAAGAATAATGTTACATTTGATTTATATAATCTAACAAATAGTATTTCAAGCCTTAAGGTCTAATGATAATTTTGCTGGTTTTGGTCCTGTAAAGTGTAACTGAGCGCACCAACATAATTAGGCTACTTGAATTCGTGTGATCGTGTAGGATTAATGAAAGATGCCCATTTCACTTTCTATATTAATTTCCATCTATTCCACCCATTCAGAATTTTAAAGCATCCTTTTCTTTGTGAATAAAAATATATTGTTCCCTTGTATCAGAAATAAGTCATATTATTTTGAAAAGTATTCTAATACTGTCCATGTTTTGGTCACAGGGGAACTTTTTAATTAATTCGATTGATAAAAATGGCAAAGTAAATTAATCGTTGTTGCATTTATTGTACGTTGTTTTCAAGTCAGGATTATTTATTGATGATTTGACACTCCATGTACATTGTTTTCTTTTTTTTGTGAGCTTGCAGATATGTTTTAAATGTTTTCCAGTTACAAAACAGATTTTATTATTACTTCTGACCCACAATGATTCAGTCAAACACTTCTATTTAAAATAAATTAATTGTGAATGAAATTATACATATTAATTCACAAACCAACTGCTGTATTAATAACTGAAATCAAAGTGGATTAAAAAATCGAACTTTTTGACTACTTTGAAATGACTCATACAATCAATTTATAAATGAAACACATTGTTACGATTCAAATGGATTCTAAAGATGTTATGACCTAATAAACACACTTTTTACATTGATAGCTGCTCATTGTTTATTAGCAGCTTACTCTCAGAAAAGGTCACCGTGTGCTAATAGTATTAGTATAGCTTTGTCATGAGCCTCTGGTATAATGCAGTCCCTCTTCTATACGATACTCAAAACCTTCAAACCCGACAGTATGATCCACTAGACCATATATTATTGGTGCACTACTTTGCTCTTGACCAATGCACTGATAATGACCCAATGACTCGGCCAAGAGCTTTCTGTGATCCATCCCAGAGTGTAGCATGAGTTCACAGACAGTCTTCAAAAGCCAGAGACCCTGACAAAGCACGACAAACTTCAAACAGCTGAGTCACAAATCAATCGCTGAGTATATTTCAAAGGGGTCAGACGCAGCCCCTTCAGTTCATAAACCAGCAGGGAAGACTTCACGGTGGAATAATTTAGTGAGACGTGCGCACAGGCTGCCACAAGGTAAAAAGGCCTAGAAGGACATTTGACATCATAGATTTTGTTTTCTCAAGACGTTCTCATGTTGCACGTCACATTTTTTCCATGTTAGGTGGAGACTGTGGTGTTGGAGATGCAGGACCCCAAAACTGGAGTGAAATCTCAGACCCAGAGGCTTGTTATCACAACCATCCCACATGCTATAACAGGTGAGATCATTAAAAATGGCTGCCGTTTGCATCAGTTGGTACTATTGGTCAAGAAGGAATCGTAAGAAAAACTAGAAGAAAAAATGTGAGATGTGAGACGCGGCATCTATAGTGAAGGATGGAAGGCTCCCCTACTTATTTGTATTGATTTCTGCAGTCTAAGTGCTAGTCATCTGTGTGGTCCATGCATTTAGAGCCTGTGTATGTGGGTCTGAGACTGAAGAATCTATTGCCATGACAACCTTTGAGCAGTAATGGCTGGCTGCAATGACTCTCCTCTAGACAGCTTGATTTCAGGAAGGAGAGCTCTTGTAATCTTCTCCACTCTTGGTCTTAAATGCTGCCAGCCAACTACATACAGCAATGTAAACTACATTGCTTAAAGGGCTAGTTCACTCAAAAATGTCATTCATTCTGTCATTAATTACTCACTCATGTCGTTCCAAACCCGCAAGACATTAGTTTAGATTTGGAACACAAATGAAGATCTTTTTAATGATATCTGAGGGCTTTGAAGGGACACACTTTCAGGGTTGGAAAGATGTTATTAAAGTGGTTTAATCTTAATTTCATGAAGCAAAAAAAACAAACATTATTACCACATTATTTACACGTGCCCACTCAACAACGTTTTTTGCGCAAATAAAGCACTTTTTTTATACAATTGAGGTTAATCCACTGGAGTCACATGGATTACTTTATGATGTCTTTGCTACCTTTCTGGGGCTTGAAAATGGTAGTTGCATAGCAGTTAATGAAGGGACAAAAAGCTCTCAGATTTCATTTGTGTGTTCTAAAGATGAACGAAAGTCTTACGGGTTTGGTACGACATGAGGGTGTGTAATTAATTACATAAATTTCATTTTTGAGTTAACTAACCCTTATAAACTTAATTGGAGCCTGGGATTCTTCACAACATTTATATATATTATTGATTTATTGGAAAGACACCCAAGGTTTTTATTTAAAAATTCATTGAAATGGTATGGTATGCTCCTCAGGCTAGCAGGCACTAATGAAGCCACACAGATTCACCCCTGCAGAGATCTTCTCATTAGTCTCCTATCAGCGGGACACACACTGGTGGACCAAGCCATAGTGCAATACCTATTTTGAGAATGCACCTTAGTTTTGTGTCTAATACTCACTGTTGTTTTGCCTATAATTAAAGAATTTCAGCCTCTATTTTTGCGTCCAATGTAGCATTTCTTTCACTTATACTCCCCTCTGTGACTAGTTTCTCATTATGTTTCTTTATGTTTCATACGTATATGCTTATATTAGGATTGATTGACCGTCATGAGACTTCTTTCCAGTCAAGAGCTAAAAAGGGGCTTAAAATATATTTTAGTACATCAAGTTTAACTAAATGAAATAGTTTATATATATATATATGAATTTATACTTTTATTTATGTGTGTGTGTGTGTGTGTGTGTGCTTTACTAAACAGCCAATATCCTTGAAGTGTTCATGCTAATAAGCAACTAGTTAATAGTGAGAATTGGAGCTTAAACTTATGTTACCTTAATTTTGTTTTAGTTTTAGTTGATTATAGTAACCCTGCTTCTCTCTGTCTATAGTCTCTCATGATGTGTGTACTGATAAATCCTGGTGGGCAGATTCAATCTGAAGGGCAATTTTCCCACCCACTGATAGTCTTTTATTGCTCTGAAATGTTTATTGCGTATATTGTTCTTTCAGGGGAAGATATTGTTGCATGGATTGCTAATCGATTCAAAATAGATGCTTCGGGTAAGTCAAGTACATTGTTTTTTGTGTATAAAAATAATAATATCTCCTTGTCAAGGTCTTTATATTACAGATCTGCTTTAAGAAATATATTCTAGTGCTATAAAATATGATGGGGCGAGATGTGGTACTGTTCATTTGGGTCTTGCTTAGATAAATGAAGTAACTTTCTCACACTTAATGTTTAGAGGCCCAAGCTATGGGGACCATGATGGTGGCGTTTGGGTACATCTATCCACTACAAGATCATAAAAGACTTATCATTAAACCAGACACATCCCTGTATCGCTTTCAGGTAACTTGAAATATT